GCCGACGGCTCACTCCGCTGCCACCGCCGCCGCCGCCGTCGAGGGCTGCCCGGCTGGAGCTGTGTCTGTGCGTCTCTGGACGAGAGGAGGCGCGGTGGGTGCTGCGCGCGCTCTTGGGGCGTCCGCCTTCTGCAAATTCGGGTGCGGGGGGGAAGAGAGAGAGAGAGAGAGAGAGAGAGGGTGAGGCCCCAAGAAGGAGGGTCCCCAAATTGCTGCTCCCTCTCTGTGCCCCCGTCCCAATTTGGAGCAACTCTGCGCACCCCCATCTGCGGACCTTTCCGTGCGCCAGAGGCACTCGGCCGTTCCGGTACCCAAAGTCACACCGGCCCACCGAGGGGAGGTTTTTATTGCATGAGATTTTTTTTGGAACTGCCTGTTTGTAGGAAACGGCGACAGCAACGCCCTCGAGCGGCATACCAGAAAAATATACCGTTACCCAGGGAAACGGGGAATAACTTGCAACCCGACTTTAATGCGCGCAGGACAGAATGCAATTTCTAAGTCCCTGGCGCCGGAAGTGGTGCCCTTGAAGGCTCCTGCCTGGTGTCAAAACGCAGGGAGTTCCGAAGTTGTATGTGCTGCCACACTAAATTATAGATTTCGTGCAAGGGAAGCCCCTCCAAGGGAGCACTGCAGGAAGGCGCTCTGTACATGCTTGAGAGCAGCCTGCCCTGTGCGCCTAACTCCAGCTGCTACTGGGCTGAGTTCTGCTGGGGTTGCAAGCCTAGGAAGCAGGGGCTGGTGTTTTCCTGCCTCAAGCACAACAGCAAAGACACACTTTCTCTCTCTCTCTCTGTGCATAGCAGCCAAAGTCAGCCAAGTCTTGGAGGTCGCGGGCCACAGGGAGGTTAGCTTGGCCTCAGCCAGAGCCAGGGCTTTTTCGGTCGTGGCTCCAATCTGGTGGAATGCTCTGTCCCAAGAGACCAGGGCCCTGTGGGACTTGACATCTTTCCGCAGGGCCTGCAAGATGGAGCTGTTCCACCAGGCCTTTGGCCAGGGCACAGTCTGACCCCCTCTTCACAGAACTCTAGCCCAATGGTTGCCATTAATTTGATTTGAATTGATTTTAGAATGAATTGATTTTAGAATGCATTTCAATTAATTGACCGTGATTTTATGTAAACTGTGTTACTTTTACTGTTGTTAGTCGCTCTGAGCCCGGCTTCAGCAGCTGGGGAGGGCGGGATATAAATAATAATAATAATAATAATTATCATCATCATCTGAGCTAGAGAATCCTGCAAGCAGCGGGTTTTCTTTCTCTTTCCCTTACTTTTTAAATGCAACTCTTCAAATGCATTTTCTCAGCACCCCAAAACCAGTCGCCTGAGGCGGCCACCTCACTCTGCTGAATGGGAGGGCTGGGCCCTCTTGGGTGCAAGTGACCCTGCCCCCCAGCCACGAGTGTAGCCAGGATTCTTGTTGGGTGGGGCAGGACTTTTGTTGGAGGGGGGGGGAGAGAACCAATGAGGTTTGTCAGTTAGTTAAGTGTTTCTACTGTTTTGCTGAAGACAGGAGTGCCTGGCGTGCTCCTGGTCCAGGGGGTCACGAAGAGTCGGAGACGACTAAACAAACAAAATTGTTTTGTTTGATGGGGGGGCGCGGCTGCCCCTTCCCCCCCCCCCGGCTACACCCGTGCCATCTCCAAGCTGCCCGGCCCTTAAATTCAGTTTTTCCTTGACTTTTGATTTGCACCCTGTCTTGGACCTAAAAGCAGAGAGGGAAGAGAATATCCCACCCCACACACCGTGGGGCTCCCGGTACCACCTCCAGCTGAAAGGGGGGGGCTGTAGCCTTGGGTTCAGCCCCCCACCCCTGACAACACACCCAGCTAGGGCTGGCAACCCCAGAGAACACTGCTGCTGCCGGCCCGTGCAAACAGTGCTGATATAGATGCACCAAGGGGGGCTTGGGAAATCCTCACCTGGGATGGGGTGAAGAGACAGGAGGAACCTCAGATCTGCTTTTTAACTGCAGTGCAGACAAGCCCCAGAAGTTTGGGAAGGGGGCTTTTCTTGGGCGGGAAAGATGGGCAAAGGGAGGGAGCCTGGAAGGAAGCTGCCTGAGGCTCCAAAGCTAGGCCAGCGGCGCCTAGACAGCGCCTGGACTACAACTCCCATCACCCCTTTCAGCTCGTGGTTGAGGGAGGTGGGAATTGCAGTCCAGGCAACACCCCGGAGAGCCCCAAAGTCAAAGAACAGGGCCCTACGCCCACTGGCCGGCCACAGCTCTCCTTGGGTTGCCGATCTGCCTGCAGATGCCGTCAGGACTCGAACTCAGGGCCTGCTGCAGGCAGAGCAACACAGGCCATCCTGGACTGTGCAGAGTCCAGGCAAAGCTCCATTGTGGGGTCCCTGGCAGAGTCTGGGGGGGAGCATCTTTCAGGGGCTGTGATGTGAATGGGGATCTTGGTCCAAGGCTGCCCCTGTGTTGTTGTTCCTCCCCCCCCCCCGCCTCTGGTGGCTCCCCAAGTTTTCTCATCCCACAAAAAACGACTCCCCGACCTCGGCTGCTTGTCGGCTCCAGCGCCTCTTTCGCCTCCTGCTCCTGCTTCTCTCTCTTGCGCTTGCTCCGGGGAACCTCTTTGCTGCTGAAGGGCGGTGGAGGCAGGCAGAGCTGTCGGGGGGGCGCGAGAAATAATAATATTAATAATAATTCCTTTATATCCCGCCCATCTGGCTGGGTTTCCCCAGCCACTCTGGGTGGCTCCCAACAGAATAATAACAGCGATAAAAGATCAAACATTAAAACTTCCCCAAACAGAGCTGCCTTCAGGTGTCTTCTGAAAGTCAGATTGTTGTTTATGTGGGTGTTCCAGGCAGGCGCCACCACCAAGGAGGCCCTCTGCCTGGTTCCCTGTGACCTCACTTCTCCTGACCAAGGCGGTTCCAGTCCCATGATGAGGCCTGAATCCTGACTCCAAAGGGATCCAAATGGTCCGCATCCTCCAGGTGTGCCTGGAGTCGTTCAGCAACCACCCGCTCAATCACCTTGCCCAAGAATGGAAGATTTGAAGACCGGGTCTGGGAACGCTCCTTCACAGAGGAAAGCATTCCCCGCCCCCACAGAGCCCATTGCCCAGCCCCTCCCTGCTCACTTTTATGAGGCAGGTCAGCAGGTCCAGTGAGCGGGGCATCAGGTGTCCTCCTCCAACAACCAGTCCCAGCTTCAGGTGGGCCAGCTGGGCTTGGGTCGTTCCTGCATTTCAGGGGGTTGGTCTAGATGACCCTTAGGGGTCCCTCCCAAATCTACAGGTCTACAATTCTTGAATTTCCTGCCCCAGAGCCAGAGGGGAGGAGGTCAGGGGTGGATTCCGGCACCCCTAGCTGGCCACTGTTGGCAGCTGGAGACTTAATATTTGGGGGTGTTAACGGAGAAATCTGAGGGCTCCCTTGGACAAAAAACAAGGACCCCCAGCCAGGAATCCCAGAGCAAAACAGCAGCCAGTCGGCTTGGTCTTGATTGAAGACTGTGGCGACAGGACTCCCACCTGCCACCAGGTGAAACAAGATGGAAGCCCCCAACAAAAGAGACCCCAAACTTTGATTAGCTGCTAATCACCATGTTAAAGGTAAAGGTAAAGGGACCCCTGACTATTAGGTCCAGTCGTGACCGACTCTGGGGTTGCAGCGCTCATCTCGCTTTACAGGCCGAGGGAGCCCAGTGTACAGCTTCCGGGTCATGTGGCCAGCAGGACTAAGCCGCTTCTGGAGAACCAGAGCAGCACACGGAAACGCGTTTACCTTCCCGCCAGAGCGGTACCTATTTATCTACTTGCACTTTGACGTGGTTTCGAACTGCTAGGTTGGCAGGAGCAGGGACCGAGCAACGGGAGCTCACCCCGTCGCGGGGATTCAAACCGCTGACCTTCTGATCGGCAAGCCCAAGAGGCTGTCTAGGACCATGAAGGTTGGCATGCCAACTGGGAAGGGCTCCTGTAGACGTGTTGGCATGCTCAAGGGATTATGGCTGCCCTGTATCAAACCACCCCCCTTTGATAGTTCTTCCTTCATAGAGGAAAATAAAAGTGGAATGGTACAGATCCGATGCACGGGTGATTTTCTATGAATTTATAGCAGAAGTGTCGCGTATGTCATGTGTGAATGTGTGTGTGTGTGTCAAGTTTGTACAAACTGAATGATTGGGGGTGTTTTTTACTGCAACACCTGTGAGTCAGTACATAGAGACATTTATCAGTGAATTCTTACATTTGGTATCGTGCAGCAAAGGCCCTTTGAATAGATAAGAAGAAACTGTGACGAAGTGTTTTGCGAGGACAAGTCACAAAAGTGATTGTGCTGGTTTTGGTAGTGGGCTGCATGTGCGTGATATCTGCTGGAGGGGCAACCCCCCCCCCAACCTGTACATAAATTCCTGCAATAGGGGGCTGTGGCCTAACAGGGCATTACTCCCCCCCCCAAACCCCTCGCCCGTCCTCACCAGAGCAATGACGTTGTTGGCTACGCAGAGCAAGACCAGGCCTCCCAGAAACTTGATGGCCAAGTCCCCGACCTCCTGGCAGGAGCTGTGCTTGGAAGACATGGCAGGAGGTGGGCAGCCATTGCAGACTGAGGACCAAGAAACCAGCCGGTGGGGGGGGCAGGGAGGAGAAGCCATTGTGAGGCGGCAGCGATGATCTCACAGTAGGAGAGGAGGGGGCAGCGAAGGCCTGGCATTGTGTGGGGTCTTCCCTCCCTGTCCTATAAGCCCCCCGTTGACCCGCGAAAGGCAAACTCTCAGGAATTTTTAAGGAATTGACAGGCTGCGTTGATTCCTGTGTTGCGGGTTGGGATGGATGGCCTTTAGGGATCTCCCTTCCCACTCAGCAATTCCGTGATTAGATTTCGAAAGAATAAAAGTCAAATCTGCCTCCTATTTTTTCTTCTTCCTGTTTTATTCTGTCGCTTTGGGGGCTGCTGCTGCTTCTTTTTGAATTTGCATTTTATTTATTTGTTAACATTCTTATATTACATCGGTAAACGTTGTCCTATTACATTACAGGACTTACTGTAATATAATTTCCAACGTGTATACAAAAATTATATACAAATTTTAAGTACCTAGAAAGAAAATGAAAAACAAAAAAAGAAAGAGAAAAAACAAAAACCAATTCCCCCCCCCAAATCATATACATACCAACACACTAGACTGTCTTTCCCATTGTATATTCCTTTTTTGCAAATGAATGTACGATACAATACGCTATCTTTATTGTCATTGTCCCATACAGAACAATGAAACTGAAAAATCTACATAAGGCATTCAAAACCCCCTAAAAACTCTGAAACCCCATTTTAAAATACAATATGCTCCTATAGAGACTCCTTATACTGCGCTTAAAACCAGAATTGTATTTGGGTAGAAACTGTTTCTCAGGCGGCTAGTCCTAAGAGAATGTACTCTTATTATTGTCTATTTCTTTACATATTATCTAATACATTCCTAGATCAATAGGTGCTCTTAGTCTTGTTTCTCAATGTCAATCAAATGCTAGCTATGCAAATTTGCCTCCTAACCTGTGTTTTTGTTCCATTTACCCCCATAATTCTGACCCGGGGTCCCTCGTCCCTCCTTCAAGGGCTGGAGCCCCCCGCCCTATGTCCCCCCCCATCTCTCTAGGTCGCCATGCCTTCCAGGCTGAAGTTCTTCCGGGGCCAGCGCTACCAGCACCTGAAGAAGCGCTGCCTGCAGCAGCAGAGCCTCTTTGAGGACCCCGAGTTCCCGGCCACCAACGCCTCCTCTTCTACCGCAGAGACCCTCTGCAGGGAGTCTCCTGGAAGCGCCCCGGGGTGAGCAGGAGACAGGGGCGCCTAGTGGTTAGAGCGCAGGAGAGGCCAGGCTTCACCTTCCCCCACTCAGCCCCCGTGAAGCTCCCTTGAGGGCCAGTCCCCGCCTCGCTTCCCTCGCAGTGTTGTTGCAGGGATTATTGAGAAGGGGAGCCCCCCCTTGAACTCTGTGGAAACACGGAATTGCAGAGTCTCAAGGGGCTACCTTGGAAGGTGACCCGGAAACTGCAGTTAATCCAGAATGCGGCAGCTAGACTGGGGATTGAAAGTGGCCGCCGAGACCACGTAACACTGGTCCCAAAAGACCTGCACCGGCTCCCAGTCCGTTTCCAAGCACAATTCAAAGTGTTGGTGCTGACCTTGGAAGCCCTAAACAGCCTCAAAGGCCCAGTATCCCTGAAGGAGCGTCTCCACCCCCATCCTTCTGCCCGGACACTGAGGTCCAGCTCCGAGGGCCTTCTGGCGGTTCCCTCGCTGCAAGAAGCAAAGCTACAGGGAACCAGGCAGAGGGCCTTCTCGGTGGTGGCGCCCGCCCTGTGGAACGCCCTCCCACCAGATGTCAAAGAGAACAACTACCAGACTTTTAGAAGACATCTGAGGGCAGCCCTGTTCAGGGAAACTTTTAATGTTTGATGTATTATGGTATTTTAATATTTTTTTGGAATCCGCCCAGAGTGGCTGGGGAAGCCCAGCCAGATGGGCGGAGTATAAATAATAAATTATTATTATTATTTTATTATAATATATAAAGCAGGGAAGGCAGGAGCGTCATTTCCCACATTGCCAGGGTTGGACTAGATGCCTCTGGGTGCCTCTTCCAGCGCTATGATCCGTGCGATGCTGCCTCCGGCTTCTGCTGCTTCAGCTGCAGACCTGGCAGGGCTGTTTCAAAGGGGGAGGTGGGTGATGAGAAGCCCCCTGGGTCTGCCAGGTCCTGCCCCATAATGGGGGGGGGGGCATTTGGAGTTCCAATGTCCAGAGAGCCTCTCTCCCTCCCTTGGCCAGGAGCTGTGTGCGGACCCCCGGCTCTTTGTGGACGGCATCAGCCCCAGGGACCTGCACCAGGGCAGCCTCGGGAACTGCTGGTTCGTGGCGGCCGCCTCCTGCCTGGCCAGCGAGCCCAGCATCTGGAAGAAGGTAGGGGGCCCCTCCTTTGCCCACTCCCACCCCCCTTCTCTTCCCCCTCTCTGCCCAAGCAGACACCAGCCTCTCTCTTGCTTGCAAGCGGGATCTAGCCGTGATGTGAACCGGGGCTGGTTGGTTCAGGCCAGGGTGCCTCTGGGCATGTGCAGAGTGCCTGAAAGAGAGATGCAGCCCTGTCCAGAGGGCTGCCCTCTGAGGGGTGTCCGGGTGCCAGGCCTGCTGCGCCCAAGCAGAATCCAGTCCTTCTCTCTCTCTCTTTTTTAAAATTAATTAATTTAACACAATTATTACAAAATATTGCAAATACATACATATATATTTCAGATAAGCACACATATATAAAAAAGAGAAGAAAAGAAAAAATAAAGAGAAAAAGTCTCTCTTTTTTTAAGACAAACAAACCCAGATCCTAGCCTTCATTCTGGCTTCTTTGAGTGCCTCTGAGCATGTGCAAAGTGGCAAGGATCCATTAAGGGTTCGGTCAGTCAGCTAGCTACAAATCCACCTAATAGCTGCTTCATCTTACTCACATTTTACCAGCTTCCTCGCGAGAAAATCCTAGCGACTTTGTCAAAAGTCTTCCTGAAATCAAGATAAACATTCAGCATTCCCCTGATCCACTCATTTTGTATCTCGGCCTTTTTCCTCCTGCCCGAGTCCAAAGCCCTTCCTGCTTCTCTTCCTCAGGTCATCCCCAACCCCCGGGAGCAGGATTGGGACCCTGGCCGGCCCCACGCCTACGGCGGCATCTTCCGCTTCCGGTTCTGGCGCTGGGGCAGCTGGACGGAGGTTGTGGTGGACGACCGGCTGCCCTGCCGCCAGGGACAGCTCCTCTTCTGCCGCTCGGCCGAGCCCCGCGAGTTCTGGAGCGCCCTCCTGGAGAAGGCCTATGCCAAGTGGGTGGGGCAAAATGGTGGGGGAATTGGGTGGGGGGACTCTTCTCAAGGGCGTAAGGAGAGACCTGCTACTGGATCAGGCCACCTGGTTCAGCTTCCTGGCCTCAAAATAGCGGAAGGACCCCAAGAACCTAGGGAGCGAGATATATTGGCAAAACCTATTGGTGTTTTGCAACTTTCCGACTCGCTGCAGGACATCAGCCAGACCCAGCAGAGTCAACGCAGAATCCACGGAAGCAATTGGCGACTTGGCTGCAGACAGGATAGACGAAGCAGGAACCAGGAACTTGTAGTTAGGTGGACTATTTACAGGAACAGAACACGGATCTTTTGCTAGCTCTCTCTGACACGACTCACCACTCCTACACTCACTGACATACTGAACCACTGAACACTGAACTAACACATTCCAGTTAAGGTAAAGGTAAAGGGACCCCTGACCATTAGGTCCAGTCGTGGCCGACTCTGGGGTTGCGGCGCTCATCTCGCTTTATTGGCCGAGGGAGCCGGCGTACAGCTTCCGGGTCATGTGGCCAGCATGACTAAGCCGCTTCTGGAGAACCAGAGCAGCGCACGGAAATGCCATTTACCTTCCCGCCAGAGCGGTACCTATTTATCTACTTGCACTTGACGTGCTTTCGAACTGCTAGGTTGGCAGGAGCAGGGACCGAGCAACGGGAGCTCACCCCGTCATTGCGGGGATTCGAACCGCCGACCTTCTGATCGGCAAGTCCTAGGCTCAGTGGTTTAACCCACAGCGCCACCTGCGTCCCAATCACATTCCAATTAGTAGGCCATTAATTATCACTCCCTTGAGAGAACTTGACCAATCAGGGAGCTGTCTGCATGTCTCTGTTATCACCAGGCAGACTTACTCCTTCACGTGACCTTCTGGCTGGCTGCCAAACCTTAATTGAGTCTGTGTGAGTAGTTGCACGTACATAGTTTCCCAACAAAATAGACTGCCTCTGCACCTGGAGGCTCCATGAGAACTTCTGAAGAGCCCCCATTTGGGCCTATCTAGCCCTGTTCTCACAGTGGCCAAGTGGATACCCCAGTGCAGAAGCCTGCGGTCAGGATTCGAACACAAGAGCGCTCCCCCGTCCTGCGATTTCCTGCAACTGGGATTCAGAAGCATTGACTGTGGACGCAGAGCAATAATCGATACCCCTCTCCTCCTCCATGAATTTGTGTGATCCTTTTTTAAAGGCATCCAGGTTGGCTCCTGTGGCAGGGAGTTCCGCAGTCGCAACGCAGGAATCGCGGCTCAAGAACCCCTGATGGACAGCCGTCAGAAGTCATGTGGCTCTTTTTATAATATTCCAGAGTACTTTAAAAAAAATCTAATCTAGAAAAACGAATGGGAGAAGGGGAAAAGTAAAAGGAAAGGAAACACAGAAAAATGAAATGGCTTCTGATTCTCCACCCACCAGCTAAATATACTAATATATTTGCTCAAATTAATATCCAGCTATTCTATTTTCTATCAACCATTATGTTTTGCCAGATATTATTATTTATTATTATTTAATTTTATTTATACCCCGGCCAAGACCGGACTCAGGGCAGCTAACGCCAGCTATAAAAACACTTGATTAAAGTGCAACTTAAAAACAAGATTAAAATACTACTTCAAATGCAGCCTCATTTCAGTGGAAGCCCAGATCGAAAACTGTTTGGGGGGAGAAAACGGCAAATCTTCACCAAGGCCAACTCTCCAGACTAGTTCTACGTGGGCCAGAAAAGACAGTGAAGTCCCCAAACAGGGGTTCCATCACAGAAGGAAAAGGAAGTTAATTTAAAGTCCGCTTTCAGTCTGAATAAATGTCAATAATGGGCTTCGCAAGTGTGGGGAGGGCGGCTGGGGTGCTCAGACCCCCCTCCTGACAGACTCTCCATTGGGGCAGCTGGCTGGCTGTAATCCCCCCCCCCCATTCAAGGGCTGTGTGGTCGAATGGTTAGGGCACCTGCTCTGAGGATGGGCCTTGTTCCTTTGCCCAAAAGACCGGTCATTGGGGAGTGACCAGCACACCCCAGCCCCAACTTCAGCATTGGGGGGGCCCCTCCCCGCTGACCACTGGGCATTCCAGCCCACCCACCCTTTCCCCCCTCTCCTCCCCAGGCTGAATGGGTGCTACGAGGCCCTGGAGGGCGGCAACACGGCCGAGGCGCTGGTGGACTTTTCGGGGGGCATTTCGGAGCCCCTGGCGCTGGACGAGGGGGGCTTCGGCACGGACCCCGAGAAGCGGAAGGAGCTCTTCCAGCAGCTGAAGAAAGCCCACGCCCGGGCGGCTCTCGTCAGCTGCTCCATCCGGGTGAGAAAAGAGGCCGAGGTGACGGAGAGGCAGCGCGGCGCAGTGGTTAGAGCGCTGAAAGAGACCAGCGTTCGAATTATCCTGGCGCTCACTGGGTGTGACCCTGAAGGCCAGACTCTGACTCTTGGCTTTCCTTGCAGGGCTGTTGTTGGGGATTGAATGAGGAAGGGGAGAGAGAGAGAGGGGGAAAGGGTTGGGATATCAGTGCAATAAATAAATTAAATAAAGATTAAACTGGCATTATAAGTAAATAGAGAAGCAAGGGAGAAGCTCAGCACCTGCTACTGCTGCAAAGGCTTGCAATAAATAAATAAGAAATCAGTAATAAACTGGGGGTGTCCGTGTGCTTCATATGTGGTCTGGTTGGCCTGCCCAGCAGGGCCGGCGTTCTTCGTGTCCCCCCCAATTTTTATTTCTGCTTTTCAGATATATACATTTCACTGATTTTACAATCCTTTTGACATTTCAGAACTTGACTTCCTTCCCCCTCTTTCTGCAGTTGCTTAAATTTATTTTTAAACATCTTCTTCATATCCAAATTCACTTAACTCGCTTGTTTATCTTCTTCCAATGTAGCACCCTGCTTGTGGTTAACGCTTAGCTGGAATGAAATATTCAACGCAGCAACAGAGAAATTAAATAATTATTTATTTGTCAGACAAATAAATGAGAGGCACAGTGGTATATGATTACCAAGCTCTGGCCTGGGCTCCTGCCATTATGGCCAGCACTTATATTCCCTTAATCCAGCCCCCTTTGCTCCTCCTTGGGCTGCCTCTGTCCCATCAGCCTGGTTGAAATTCCTATTGGCTGATTAGTATAACCAATCACAAAAATACACTCATATCCTCCTGTCCTTATAAGGGAGACAAAGAGCTATATATAAATGACAAATAAGTAATAATATATCTTACATGGAATCTTAATTACCAGCTCACCTCTTGCCCTATTGCCTTCTAAAACAAATGGTTAATCTTAAATTTTTATCTTAACATATGTCAAGGATCTTGAGTTTCACATCAATATTGAAAGAAAACCTTCATTTGAAGGTTTCTAAACAAATATCTGACAACTTATATATCAGAATTGCTCGGATGGCGTCTTCTTGTCTGACAGGGGGCTGGACTCAATGGCCCCTGTGGTCTATTCCAACTCTAGGACTCTATGATTCTATGAAATAAGAATCTAACATCTAAATTTGTTACTTTCTAAATCCTTTGCATAGTTACATTTATGCCAATATATTTCATACATTATCATAGGTAACCTTAAAGCTTCTCAAAGTAGAAAGGAAGGAACTCAGTAAAAAACAGTTTTTAAAAGAAGCCTCTTCCCTGTTCATACTTCCCCCCCTTCTTCAGCCAGTCGCTTTCTCTTCCAAGTGCTCTTGACCTTTTGTCCTGTGACTCAAGTTTAAGAGAGGCCCATGGTTTTATTTTACTGTTTACTCATTCCTAATTATATTTATCTCTGCCTTTGTTATCTTCTGTAACATGTAGGGTCAATGTCCTGCTCTTTAACCTGTAATTTCCCCCCCTTTTCACGACTTTGAGAATTGTTTTCTGCTATAAATCAAAAGGGGCCCCTTGTCTTAGGAGAATGGCCCAGGTTTTCTCTATAAACAGCTGGCCTTCTTGCCTGGCATGAAACATTTGAAAATCTAAGCCCATTTAATTTAGGAACCTGATCAAATATAAGCCAATATATGCCTTGATTAAAAATGCAGTCTATATTCAGATGCCACATTCCCCCCTTTCAAGCTCAAGGACCTGGCTACCAAGCGTCCTTGATAGCTTGATCTACATCATATTCCTGAGGTAAGGCTCTATATAGTGCCATGATATGAGGTAAAGTTTCATTTGAAATCATCTTGCTAATTGTACTCCTAAAACATGAGATGATACATGGCACCATACATAAAACCATTATCTGAAATGTTAAAGCAACAGGCATTCCCTGTCAAGTTCAAGACTCCACACAGGCCTCCCTGCCTGGCAAGTACATAATCCATTCCCATTTTCAGCTGCAAAATGGGGCTCTACTTTCATCCAACTGTTGTGCAATAAGTCTCAAACTCTGGGCCGTTGCATTGGTTACAAGTTCCACTACTGCTTGTAATCGAATTATTCTGTTTAGATTATAAATAGGATCCCATGCCCCTTGTATGAGCTCACCAGGATTCCAGGAGGCAGGATCATAATAGGCTATTATGCGCTCTGGCGGCCAATCATCAGTACCGCTCCAACTTTGGGTACTTCCTCCTGCTATACGAGAAATATCAGCATTTCTTCGTGTTCGCTTGGCTGAACCAGTGGGCAAATCCACATTGGTGGTAATACCCATCCCAGAAAACAAGTCCCACTCCATTTGGAAGGGAGTTTCTTGTATGCCCATTCTCCACATATCCACCACAACCATCGGGTCTGAGGTTTTTGGTATGTGGAGTGCATAAGGCAAAATATCAGAAGAGGTAGAGAGTTCACAGTGCAGTATGTTAGATTGCCTTTTTCTGTCACAGTTATGTTCCATACCACTTTCCATGCATGAATAAAAGGAGGTGCACAGGGCAAGGTATTCCGAGTTCGATAGGTAGTACCGTGTGCCCAGGTATTCTTAGTATAATCCCAAGTATAGTGGCAATGAGAAGAGCCTACCATGGGAGAATCAGCTGCATCTGATGATTTATGTACACAGAATTCCCCTTGTACAGGTATAACTCATAATGATTTAGTTGAGTTCCATCCGGGGAAATTCTGTATTTCTGTTTGGTGTGGCATTTCGCTTACCATACCAATGGCATCTAATGGTATTGGTAATAAGGGCATACCTCCCTCTGAATCATCTGGCCCAAGAGAGCAATCAGCAATTGGTCCTATTTGCCACATTGCCTACCATCGCAGCTAAGCCTACCCACATATTGTGGTCATGGCTGAATCCATATTTAGCAAATTTGGTCAGATTCAAGGACCCTCCCCTTCCCAAGGGATCAGGATTAATAATAAAATCATGTTGATGTCTAGCATATGCATTCCTTCCACAAAAGATTACCTTATTGTGATAGCAAATAAATATTAGTCCCAATATAATTCCCCCAGTGACAGAAATGGGGAACCACCAAGACCAAAACATATATCCCAAGAATCCCCAATGTGTAATATCTCTGATAATTGTTCCACAAGGGGGCAGTCAATCAATTGTATAAGAGAATCTTCCCGCTCACAGTCTCTGGTTCAGACGCTCCTCAAGCTTCAGGCGTGCGCAGGTCAGCCAGCTTCCAAGTTGTGGCTGCAGCAGGCCGGTCGTCTAATGTTGCCCGTGACCTAGCCGTTCCCGGTAGGGCTAGATACAGGGGTTTTTGGAGAGAGTCAGTTTAAGAGGATTAGAGGGGTCACCTTTGCACGTCCAACTGCCTTCGGACTTCTTCAAACGGGAGTGATGAATCCAGGGGGTCACCTCAGCTACCTTCACCGTTGTTGGAGTAGAGAGCAAGACGGTGTAAGGTCCACGCCACTTAGGTGCAAGTGGATCACGTTTCCACTCTTTCACCCATATGCTATGCCAGCCTGGAGCTGATGAATCGGCAGGCAATGCTGCACGGCGTGCGCTCGAGGGCCCACCTGTTAAGATAAAAAAAACAACAACAAACAAACACAGGAGAGAGACAAAAACACGGGAGAGAGATTGCACTTGTCCCTGTGTCTCATAGTCTCCTATTTGTTTGAGGTCAGTTGGAATATCCTGAACAAAGGAGGGCGGCCTCCCATACAGGAGCTCAAAAGGTGACAACTTAAGTCTTTTTGTGGGTGCACACCGAACACGAAACAGTGTTATGGGTAACACATCTACCCTCCTGAAACTTTAGACATATTAGTGGGCTTCTGGCATGCCCTGCAGATACCTTGCACAAGCATCTGGCGGTAGGTGGTAAGCCTGGCCAGGTGAATTGCATTGTTTGGATCCCAATTAGGATCTTCCAAGGGAAAGTTGTCTTGGAGATATTAAAATTATTTCCCACTCTGGCCTGCTCACGCAAATATATCTGTGCCTTTTCAATTATGTCTCTCCTTTCCTCAGTGGTGAAGAGAGTATTACTATTGAAGTCACCAAGTCCATCATAGCCTGAGGTTTTTCTGCGAAAGATGGGGTGTTTTCCAATTCATCAGACTGTAGTCGTGAATGGAATGTACTGCAGGGTCGAAGTTCGAGGTGGCCTTGGTCCAGGTAGCCCATTAACCAGCACAGGCTCCTCAAGTGCATCAAATACTCTTCTAAGAGGGGCTACTACGTGACCTTTTTCTTCGCTTTGCTCTAGGGGCCTCAAATCATAGGGGATGGTATCTGTCCCAAGGCGTTCTTTTAGCAGCTCTATACGCCTGGCTGTATTGTTTGCTGACCGATTAGGGTCTCCCTGTAACTTCTGTAATAATAGATGTACAGGGGTTTGGGGTAGGCAATCAGTTGTTCCACTAAAAGAGACTGTAGATGGAGTTCTACTGGGACTCACAGGTGGAATAACCACTTCTGCTTGGGCTTCATTATAGGACTCCAATGCCTCCTGAAGATATTTATCATAATCTATCAAGGAATCAAGTTCTGTGACTCCAGCCCCATTATTCATTCCACTTTCTTGCCTTGGGGTTACAACTGGTGGAGGGTTCGAATTAGGCTCCCTTCGATGTGGAGCATAGGGTGGAGGTGGAAGCACCTCTTCCTCTGGTCCCTCAAAAATGGGTTTGAGTTTATTTGGCAAGATTCCTTTCCTAGCTTTGGCTTTTACAGCCAATAATTTGCATCGTTGGACTTTGCATTCCCTTATCCATGGAGGATTTTTATTTAATGTGCTCAGCCAGGAATCTATATATGAAAATTGTTCTGGGCACCCTCCAGTTTCTTTGGTGATGTTAGACCAAAGTTTGCTTATTAAATTTATATCAAAGGTTCCTTGAGATGGCCATTCAGTATTTTCTTTTGGCCATTCTAGTTCACATAACGTTCTCAAGCGCTCTGGCATCATTTTGACTCCATATGCCCCTGAGAAGGCTTTCTTAAAATTATTTAACATACATTCAGGAGGTGTATTTCCCCCCTTTGAACC